AAGAAGACATTGAAGAAGACATTGAAGAAGACATTGAAGAAGACGTTGAAGAAGACATTGAAGAAGACATTGAAGAAGACATTGAAGAAGACATTGAAGAAGACATTGAAGAAGACATTGAAGAAGACGTTGAAGTGAAGATAACGACCACAACAACAGCGATGACAACAGCAATGAATAACTCGTTTGATCGCTTCGGCGATGATTTGGCGGAACTATTGCTTAAATATCTGCCAATCGATGACAGACTAAGACTGGAATCGGTGTCCAAATACTGGTTATCAATGATATTCGCTAAACAAACACATCTGGTATTTGATAGAAATCTATTCAAACGGACGTCTTTCAAAAAGTTAAAACTGTTTGAAACAATTGTCAAAAAATGTCCGAATATAAGGTCAGTTACCGTAAGCGATGTCCATGCGTTGGACCGCTTACTGGATCTAATCGTCAAACACTGCGACCAATTGAGACACATATCAATAAAACGTGACCACACTTACGACTGGCCGGTCGTAGAACCGATGATTCATAAGTTTATCGACCGATTTGGTCAACAATTGCTGACATTTAAGTTCGCCGGCAATATTCAACAATTCAATCGACAACTACTGTATAAAGTATGCGACCAACGATTGTCTCAATTGAAAACAGTGGACATCACTGGAACTATTAGTTTGAAAGACTTGTTTACCGATAGTCACTTTCAGGGCTATCGCTTACCGAACGGTTGGCAATCGTTTGCCATCAAACTGGCCGACGAACAGTCGCTGGGGTTGTTCTCAACATTTGCTGACACTTACGGCCAACAGATGCGATCGCTGGACATATCGGTGGCGACAATGCTATCAAAAACCGACTATCAGTGGTTAGTTATCAGCGGCTTGTCGTCTAAAAAAATGCCAAAATTAAGACAATTGTCGCTAAATTTCGTGTCCATTACTGACTATGATTTGATCGCAACTTTTTTGACCCGAATTGGACGCGATTGTCGGCAACTTTTATCATTGAATTTGATGTTAAATCGCACGGATATTAGTCTAATCGGCAAAATATTTGACACAATCAATGAAAATCTATCACAATTAAGACATCTATCGCTTAATTGTAGTAATTATTGTCAATATGTTGTAACAGCTAATAGCAATCAGTTGGCCAGCGATCGGCTTAACCGTATGAATCGTTTAAGACGTTTGTCTATACGAGTGATTAGATCGGGAATAATTTGTGACCACTTTTTCTGTAACATTCATCGCAATCTACCGCTACTACAGTCACTGGCCATCATCGGCGGCGGCACGGCGTCCATAACTAATGCATCGCTCATTTCATTGGCAAAGTTGGCGCACTTGACTGATGTCTATATCGATGGCGACACCAAAACCTTGACTACAACCCAACCGATCATTGAATATCATTTGCTATCACCAACTGATAGGTCGAAAATCAAACATTTGTTCATTAAATATATGGATCTGTTTGATGGTATCAAAGAATTGAAAATATAATCGAAAAATCAAAACAAAACAAAAAATTCATATAATATTAATGTTAAATAAAACTTATGATACAATTATCATATAATCACAAAAATCATTTGAAAATTTCTAATTTCATTTTATTAGCCATAAAATCAATAAATAAATGAATGGGGAAAAAAATTTTTTTTTATTATTTAGTTTTATTAATATTGATAAATAATATTTTAGTTATTTATTTTTATTATTTTTTTTAAATGCAAAAAATCGACAATGAAAATGATTACAAATGATTATCACATTACCGTATGTCCGCGCATATACCACCCACCCACCCCCCACTACTAGGGCTATATGTGAAGTCGTGGGGGTAGGAATCAATTGGGGGGGATGGGGTAATATTTAAGACAGGCCAATTACTTATACCCGCAAATATAGATGGCATATGACGGGTAATTACATATATATATTTTTTTTTTTAAATTCAATAATTTCAATAGTGGGGGGGGAGTATTTTGTGAATTTATTAAATCAAACTTTTTTGTAGTGGGGTGGGGGTGTGTAACTCACATATAGCCCGGATGATCTATGGGCGGGGGGTGTATGTGCTATATAAGGACGGTAATATAATTTTCATAACAAACAAAAAAAAATTTCAATATAACAAATAATCAGTAAAAAAACTTTTATTACAATTATTGACATCACATTTTTAAAAATAAATTTGATGTCACTATAAAGTATTAGTATTTCTTAAATGTTTTGTATTATTGATATTAATTTTAATTATTAAAATTTTGGTTACATATTTTAATTTGTTTTTTATTTTATAATTAAAACAATATTGAAAACAATTTATATATATATATTTATTTTTAAAAAATAAATTTGATGCCATTATTAGTATTATTACTAATAGTAGTTCTTTTGTATTATTGATATTAACTTTAATTATTAAAATTTTGGTTATATATTTTAATTAAAAAACAAAAATTAATTTTGTTATTAAATTATTATTGAAAACATTTTATTATAAATATACTGTAGATTTATATAATAATACAATATTTAGTTAATAATCATTATTACAATTAAAATATTTTCCAAATTTAAATACTTTTCTGTTCATTAAATGATTACTTTAACTAATAAACAAATGTTTAACTTTAGTATCGTTTAGTAGATATTGTCTAATCATTGATTCATTTATTGACCAAACATCGCATAGGAGACAGACATCCATCAGGTGTGCCAACTGTCCCATAGCTTGGATCGACTTATCAGTGATGGACACACTGTCACAGTGTATAGACTGTAATCGCGGAAGATTGCGGTGAATGTTACAGAAAAATTGGTCACCAATTGTTAGCGGAATATTAAACCGAAGTGTTAAATGTGTTAATCCCTTGAATCGGTTTAACAAATCGCTGGTAGGTTTAGTCTGAATATAAATAAGTTTAGTATTTATTTATTAATACAAGTTATATTTTGTGTACAATAATTTAAACCTAGTATCATTAAATATCTAGTAATAGATAATTATTGTATTTTTTAAAAATAATTTAAGTTATTATATTTTACAAAATGTATTATTTATTGCAATAAAATTATTTGTCAAAAAAAATTATAATAAAAAATAATAGTTTTATCAATAAATAGCAAATGAAATTTAATTAGAAAAGTTGTAATTTTTTAATATTTTTATCAGATTTTAGTTAATCATAACTAAAAATCTATTTTATTTAATATTTATATATATATATATATATATTATTTAATATTTATCTATAACTGTAATATTAATCATAATTAAAATATTTTCCACATTTAAATACAGTTAAATTATTGTAAATAATAATCAAATGTTTAATATTACTGCCATTAAGTAGATGTT